GAGATGGCAACTCCAAGGCAGGAGGAGAAAGTGGAGCTTCTACCCAAGATGTTTTTCAATCTCTCCCCAGCCTGACACACAGTGGGAGACTCCCCAAGCCACGACCCTGCCAGTCACAGGCCATGGAATGCTGGGAAAGCCACAGAGGACTGGAGCTCACCTTCCCTTTGAAGGCCAATATGAGATTGGCACTGCCCCCATCTACCTCAGGTGGCTCTCACATGTGCAGCAGGGAGCCCACAGCCTTCCCCAGTGGACACCTGACTGGTGTCTGCACCTTCCTTCCCAAAGTCTCCTCTGACCCTGGCTCTCTGCGAGTTGGTCACTTGGGTCCCCATGAGCATGACCTCCTCTGGGGGTTCACGCCAGGCAAGGACGGCAGGCTTCTCTGTGGGCAAAGGCAATGCCCCAGCATGGCTGCTTGGACAGGTGGACCTCCCGGTGGTGAGGTCTCCAGTGAGCTGCAGGAGGAGGGCTTTCACGCTTCAGAGAGCCCATCTCTGGCCACCTTCCCGAGGCCCACTCAAGCCACGCTCAGCCACAGCTCCCTGTGTAATTTCTTCTGATCTCTGTTCCCCGATGAAGTATTCTTTCCTTCTTCCAGTCATTCGCCAGCCTTGGTGGGCTCAGCATAGGCTCCTGCAGCTCCCAATGCTTTAGTAACGGAAGGGTCATTATCGTTTGTGATCTGTGCTGCTGATGGCTTCCTGCATGCACGAACAAGGACACAGAAAGAACCAAATGACGGTGGAAAAACTACAGCCCCAGCCAGGGGACCCTTCCACGAAGACTTCCTGGAGCACAGCTCTCCTTCCTTGATGGGTGGTTGTGGCTGGACTCTCGCGATTGCACACCTGACCCTCACTGTGCTCCAGGCCACACCCTAAGCCCTTGGTGCATCTCAAACGTCACAGCCTGAGGAGGCAGGCACCGTTACTATCCCCAGCTTACAGATGAATGGAGGCGGAGAGGTCTAAGGGTCTTTCCCAAGGTCGTGGAGACAATGAATGCGAAAGCCAGAACTTGAGCCCCTGAGAGACCTCATATAAACTGTCAGGTACAGCAGGCTCAGGACTGCGCGGAGGATTTTAGCTGCCTTTCCTTCTGGCTCCAGCAGGTGGCACCAAAGCACCTGCCCAACTGTGCACCTGCCCCAGGAAGGTTTGGTCTGGGTTAAAAGGGAACCAGCCCCGGCTCAAGAGGTCCTTTCCTTCCACGGACCCAAGCAGTGGGAGCACCGGGTGATGGTGAGGGTGTGATTCTGGATTCGCGTGATTCTGCCAAAAATGAGTCTGTCAAGTCACAATAGTTACTCACACTTGCTTCTGGCCCTTAGGATGAATCAAATAGTTTCCCTTGGGGAGCTCACAGACTCCCAAGGATTGAGCAATGTGGAGATTAGTAGCCCCAGAGGAAGTCAAACAAGTTCAGACACAACTATCTCCGATCTCAAGCTAACAAGTCAGGGAGTTGGGGTCTAACCCAGGCCCAGCTGATCCCAAAGTGTGCAGTCTTTCTAGCCTGGATGGTCCTCGGTTTGTGAAGACCCCATGCTGGTGCTGCAGCAGAGTGGAGGTGACAGGGTCTTTCTCACAAGGGGGTTATGGTCTAACAGAAGAGGAGGGGAGCCCGGACATTATGCAGGGGTCAGCTCAGGAGAAAGTGCTATAATCTGTGCCCTCTTCTCACAGGGATCTGGACCTTGGTACTCACTTTTTCTCCAGGCCTGGCACGGAACCTGCCACACTTTAATCCTCATGAACGTGTGACCGGTGGACAAATGAGGAAGAGTCCAGAAGCCCAAGATGGAAGCCACATTGATAGAGGCGGGCTTTCCTGGTGAGGTGAGATTTGGGTGGGCCTTGAGGATAAGTAGGAGTTTACAGCTGGAAAAGAGGATGAAAGTGTTCCAGGTGTATATGCACATAATGACAGACTTGAGGGGTGGTCTCTCAAGTTTTGTTAAATCACCACCTGCAGACTCTCACCCCAGGATGGACACATATACACGGTAAATGCTCAGCACTCACTGTGTGCAATGGCCTGTGGCCTTTTCGTTGTTGTTTTTTTGTTTTTTTGTTTTTTGAGGCATGGTTTCCCTTTGTAGTTCAGGCTGGCCTTGAACTCACAGCGATTCTCCTGCCTCAACCTCCCAAGTGCTGGGATTACAGGTGTGCGCCACCATACCCGGCTCAAATTTGTTTTTATTTATTTTATTCTATTTATGTATTTATTTTGGTACCGGGGATTGAACTCGGGACCTTGTGCTTGTGAGACAGGTGGGGGCACCACTGAGCTAAATCCCCGCCCTCTGTGGCATTTTCATAGAGTTTAACTTGGAAATTAGTCACAATAACAAATAATAGAACAATTATAACAAGACACCATAATAAAAGTTAATTAAAATTTGTGAACTGTTTATTTCTAGAATTTACCATTTAATATTTTCTGTAACTGGAACTAAAGAAAGCAAAACTGAGAACAAGAGGGACGAATGTCATCTGGAGCCAGACCCTAAAGGTTTTCAGGTGCTTGGGTGACGAGACTGGACCCTTTCCAGTCACGTCTGTGAAGGTCGACACGGCAAACTCCTGGGTTGTTCTCTGGCTCCTTCATTGATGTCCCGCCTTTCAGTCTCATTTCTTTGGTCACCTTTATGGGCTTCTCTTCCCCAGCTTTAAGTCTGCTGGCTGCCGGGACTCTGCACCAGGTGTCCCTCACTCCTTCTGCTCAGCCTCCCAAGGTATCCCCTGCCTTGGTCTGAGTGACAGCCAGCCCAGTCCTAGCTGTGAAGACACCAGTCACTCTCAGTAGCCCAGACCTTCTAATTTAGTTGGATCTGAAATGTTCTCCAAGGGTCCGCAAACTAAGGTGTGATCCCAGAGTGCAGTGCTGCTGGGAGATGGTGGCACCTTTCAGAGTAGAACCTCAGGGGAGAAAACTAGATCATTGGCCATGTGACCTTGACAGCAAGATCTCTCTTTCTCCCTCTCTGTCCTTTCTCAGTGCTTCCCAGCCGCCATGAGTTGAGCAGTTCCTTCTCCACACATGCCCAGTGAGGAGCTGAGCTCCCACGTCCACACACAACCATGGACTGGAACCTCACTTGATGTGTCTCTGGTGTCCTGTCACGGTGTGGGAAGCTGACTAACAGAGCCATCTTGGTGCCTGACACTGCCTTTCCTATCGCAGTGGCCCCGGTCTCTCCTCTTCAGCGGATGGACAGCATAACCGAGAGTTCAAGAGCGGATGCCAAAGCCAGTAAGCCGTAGACTCAAATTCAAGCTCGGCCGTGTATTGCCTTTGTGAACTTGGGACTTCACTTAATACTTCCATATTTCATGCACCTTGTGTATAAAGTCACAGTGGTCATGATAGTACTAAGGGGAAGAGCAGCCCCAGTCTCAGAGCCTCGTCAGGGACACATGCGTTACTGTGCTGAACTCTGAATGACCGCAGTGCTCTCTCCGTGTGCATGGTCACCAAGGGAGTCCTCGACCCTTGCTCTGGCAGCAGAGGCTAGCTTGTTGGATCCCTTCATCTGTCTGGTATGTCCTTCGATCCTGTATCCTTCTCCTCCTCTCTCATCCGCAGAAGCCCGCTGGCGTGTCCCTGCCTTGATGTCCTGGTCTCGAGTGTCCCCAACATCGTGACAGGAGTGAATCTACTCTAAGACGCTGGAAAGAAAGGCTGAATTTAAGAGATTGCCGCGGGCTTGTGGCCGACTGTAGTGCGGGCAAGAGAGGAGGGTGAAGAGGAGGATAAAGGAATATAAATTACGGGGCTTGGGGACTCGGAATGGGTCAATCCAGGCTGGTATACAGCCATGGTCATGCTCAGCTGGGCAGACTTCGGGGCCAGGATGGCTTGATAGCTGGTGACAGTCTGAGGTGACTCCTGTCATGAACTGGGTTGACAGAGGGAGGCTCAGCTCTGCCTCTACAGAGGCCTGGGCTTCCTCCCAACATGGGTGCATCCAGGCTTCTTATACAGTGTCCAGGGTTCCAGTGCAAATGTTCTGGCCCGCAAAACACACAGCACTGTCTTTCCTCACCTGGACCTGCCATTCTTATGCAGTCCACATCCGACTTGCAAAGAGGTGAGTGGGCAGGGCCCTGAGAACCGCCTCGCCTTGGAGGACTGTGGAATAATTTTGTGAATGTGCTCAAAAAGCACCACTCTCACCCTACCACCACATCTACCTGCACTGTTGGGAGTCTGTCTGGTCTGGGGGCTCCCAGGTGCCCAACCCTCCCTGTCCCCATGGAAGTCTGCCAAGGACAGAGGAACACAGGTCAGGTGACTCACCCCTCCTTCCTCCTCTATCTACTGGATCTCAGCCCCTGACACCCCCGTGACCTCCCAGGCCTGCACACCCTCCTCTCCTAACTCAAGGAGCAGAGGAAACCCTCCCTCTCCTTTCCCCTTCAGCTCCACTAGACAAAGGGCTGCAAGGTGACTCATTGCAGCTTCTTCCTTTGGGGTGGGCGGAGGGACCCAGGTTCTGCTGGACTCCAGGTGGCTCCAGGTGTACACTTGGCTGGAATCCTCCACCTCTCTTCTGTGGTGGATGGAGGCCTCTGAGCCGGGGTCAGAGAAGAGGTGGGCCTGGATGTCCTGCCCAGCTCCTTCCTAAAACCACGTATGGCTGATCCCCTGTTTCCAGGGAGTCCACACACATGGAGGCCTGTGTGGGTTCTCATGCATCTCCACTTAAAATGTAAGGAAACTGCGGGCATGGTGGTGCATGCCTGTAATCCCAGAACTTGGGAGTCTGATGTAGAAGTTTGCCAGGAGTTCCAGGCCAGCCTGGGCTACATGATGAGTTCAAGAACAGCCTGAACTACATGGTGAAACCCTGACTCAAAAAACAAAACAAAACCCAAGGAGACATGTGAAACGGACGCTTACTTTGAAACACACCAGACATTATTCTTGACGATGGTCATGGCCACCCTCCTCTGCAGATCTCCATCTGAAACTGTTCTCTTTGATCAGCAATCCCCGTGCCCTCTCTCTCTCTCTCTTTCTGTCCTCCCTACAGTTACGACTTGACAATTGAAATGACAGCATTGAGACACAGGTAACACACTGGGCGCACCATTGGACCCCTGCTTCCTTGAGTTTTATTCAGGTCGGTTTCTTCGGGGAAGCAGCAGCACAGGGTCGGCAGGTGGGCTGCAGTCCTCTTCACTGCCATCCAGCCCAGCCTCCTTGCTGGCAGGGGATGAGATGGTGCAGGAGCTGCAGCGGATGCCCCAGGGCCAGGCTGGCAGGCTACGCTGGAAGGGGAGGAGAGGGGTGAGTTCAGGGGGCGGACTCATTGGCCCTCCTACTTGAGAGGAGAGGCCAGGGGGCAGGATCTGCGGGGATGGAGATGATTTTCAGGCTTCACCCCGAAAGTGAAGCCAAAAGCCCCGGGTATGCCTGGTGCCCCAACTTGAAGAATGTGACATATTAGCCATATTTCCTTAATCTAGGGATTTGGTTATCTCTAGAAGGTCCATCCAGGGCATGAGGTCCAGGATCGTGGTCTTCCTGTGCCTGGAGTAGCTCGGAGCCCTAGGACCCAGGAGGGTATTGACAGACAGCCGAGAAGGGCCGGCGGGGGGCACCTTTCCTGTAACAGGCCTCGAAAACACAGAGGCCACACTTCCAATGCAGAGGGACACACGAGCCTCCTGCACTCTCCAGTTCCCTGCCTCTCCCTGATAACTAATATCAGGGAGCCCAAGGCTTTGAGACAGGAAAAGAGAAGCAGGGAAATGCAAAGCCTGTAGGCTGAGCTTACTGGCGTCAAGGTCTCCGCAATTTCCATGCCATTTTTTAACCTCCTGCTGCTGCCTTGCCTTCCAGAGTCAGGGCTACTTTTTTTTTTTTCCATAGGAAATGTGCAATAATTTATCATTTCTGTACATCATGGTTTATGTCTAGATGTCCCCTCAAAGCCTCATGCTGTCATAGGTGAGGCTTTTGGGAGGTGACCAGATCATGGTCAGTGGATTAGTCAGTCCAGTGATGGGTTTATAGCTAAACGTGGTTTGGGAGGTGAAGCTGGAGCCAAGGGGGTGGGTCACTGGGGTGTGACCTAGAAGGGTCCATCTCTCCTGATCTCTCTCTGCTTCCTGCCACCATGCCACAAGCTGCTTCTCCTCAGACCCACCCCTCTGCCATGCCACCCTGCCTTTGAGCCAGCCCTACGGACTGAAACCTCTAAAAATCTGAGCACCAAAATAAACCTTTCCTCTTCAGAGTTGTGAGTGTTGGGTATTATGCCTCAGCAATGAGAAAGTAAATAAGATAGAAACACACACACACACACACACACACACACACACATATACTATTATTTTTTTATTTTTATTTTTGGATGGGGATTGAAATCAGGACCTACCACGCTAGGTCAGTGCTCTATCACTGAGCTACATCTAAAGTAATTCATTCAGTCAGTCATTGTGTGTGTGTGTGTGTGTGTGAGAGAGAGAGAGAGAGAGACAGAGACAGAGACAGAGACAGAGACAGAGAGAGAGGCAGGGTCTTGCTACGCAGTTCAGGCCAGCCTTGAACTCACTATGTCGTCCAGGCTGGCCTGGAACTGGCCTCCTGCCTCAGTCTCCAGAGTAGTCGAGATTACAGTCATGTGCCGCCATGGCCAGACATGTACGTGCTTTCTTTTTTCTTCATCCAAATGTTTCTGGCCTATATAACAAAACACTCACACATGTACTATGATAATTAAATTGATTTTGTTAGATATCCAGTCATTGGCTTAGCCCTTTCAGGCTGCTATAACAAAAATACCACAAGCCATGTAGTTTATAAACCAGAAATTTATCTCCCTCAAAGTTTGGAGGGCAAAAAGTCCAACATCAAGGTGCAGAGCCCCTGGTGTCTGGCAAGACCCGATGCCTGTAGATGAGGCTTTCTCTCTGTGACTCCAGGGGAGGAAGTAGAGAGGCAAGTCTGAGACCTCTTTTACAGGAGCATGCATCCCACTCGTGAGGCTCCACCTTCATGACCTGCCCACCGCCCAAAGACCCCACTCTAAACACTCTCCCACTGGGGATCGGGTTTTGTTTCAAACTTGTTAAATAGAGTTGCCACCTCATCATCCATGCTTAAATTTGACATAAGTGGCCTGAAACCCAGTCTTACCCTGTTACCTTTGGCCTAGTTAAAACTTCCCCTTCCTGTGTGGTTATGTGTGATATAGCCCATTTTTTCCTCATTCGGCCAGTTCAAAACAATACATCCCACAGTTGCTAACCATGATAAAACTCACCGATTAACACCAGAACCATATCAACAAGTGCCACCTGTTTCAGTTGGTTGGTTGGTTTGGTTTGTTTGTTTTGTTTTTGGTGCTGGGAATTGAACGTGGGACCTTGTGCTTGAGAGGCAGGTGGCAGCAACACTGAGCTAAACCCTCAGGGTTTTTTGTTTGTTTGTTTTTGGTACCGGGGATTGAACTTGGGTCCTTGCGCTTTCGAGGCAGGCCGCAGCACCACTGAGCTAAATCCCCAGCTCCCCGGTTTGTTTGTTTTTTAAGAGACAAGGTCTCACTGTGTCATCTGGACTGGCACCAGACTCCTGAGCTCAGGTGATCCTCTTACATCCTCTCTAGTAGCGGAGGCTGCAGTTGTGCGCCACAACACCCAGCTTCCTGAGTTTTCTTTAAATCAGCCTAACCCTCATCCCCAAGGACTTCCTCAGAGCTAATGCCCAGAGACCTAATAGTTCTTTAGGTCCATTGTCCCCCACCCCAACATACTGGTTAAGTTGGAGCGTCCCGGATGTCCCTATCCCATGGGCCCTGTGAGGCATGCTGTGTGCTTCTCTCTGGAATCTGTCAGTAATAAAACAGCTTTCATTTCACTACTTTTGTTGTGCTATGCTGCCTCTTTTTTATCTTACCTTTCCCACACACCTGAACCTAACTCTCCTCCCAGTCAGTGACTGTTTTGATAGGAATATACTGAACCCAGGTCAAACAAGAACCGCAAGGGTGTCCTACCAGCATAAACAAGTTTCCTGTGAGAACAACACCTGATCACAAGTCATACACACTTGGGGACTAGGCTGTTTGCCGGGATAAAGTAACCTTTGAAAAGCATACTGTAAACATCCGCCTACCCTCCATTAGGGGTGTGGCCAGAAACAACAGCCACCTGGAGCCCTCCGGTCCAAATTAGAAGAAAATCACAGCAGGTCTCAATTTAAGAATTTGGAAAGGACACGAACAATCAGCACACGGCAGTCACATAAAAACTACAGGTCTATGCGTATTTTATTGTTACGAAGGTATATTTGCCAAGGTATGAAGGTAGAAAATATTTACTAGTTTGCTGTTTCAATTTACAGTTTTTAAATAGGAAGACGTGTGGTTTATGGGCCCCCATTGGTGCATTTGTTCCAGGCCCTGCAGATGTGAAGGAAACGCCTGCTCGCTTCTTCTGAAACAAACTCAAGCTGACTTGAACTCACCTCTCACCATCCAAATTCAGGGATAAGAGAGGATCAGAGAGTGAAGGGTGTTCGAGGTACTTCCGGAATTCAAGCCCTTCTCCTGCAGTCTGGGATGGTCTCAAATTCTCAATCCTCCTGCCTCAACTTCCCAAGTACTGAGATCACAGACATGTGCCGTTACATCCGGCTCTAGCTCCCTTATTCTGTACCCTGGAGAGCGCTCCTGTTTCTCTGACAGAACCCTGATCCTTGCCCCTGGATTTCGGCCAAGGACCGCCCCCCACCCTCCACCCACGCTCTAGGCAGGGGGTGATCTCGTTAAAACTTGTCAGATGTGCCACCCTCTGCTCAAATCCCTCCAGAGCGTCCCTTCTCATTCTAAGTAAATGCCAAAGTCCTCACTCAGACTGTGCCAAGCTTGGTTAGCCGGCTCCTATTGGAAGGCGCCAGGGGCCGGGGCTGCTGCATCTGCAGGCCCTCCTGGCACTGCAGCCACGCTGGGAGGCGAGCGCTAGTCTTCAGCATGAGATCCATTAAGCCTGCCGCAGCTTCAGCATTCCTGTCTGACCCACCCGGGCCTCTGAGGCTCTGGTTTCCCCAGCAACGGCCAGCAAAACGAGTTAACACAATCCCAAAGTCCAGGTTTTTGCCACCTTAGGAGTGCAAGCCCCAAGGAAGCATTATTGTATGACCTTTGATTTAGACCCTGTTGCCCAGGGAACGCAGGCTGACATTTAGTATCAAAAGAGGTCCTCAGCACTGGGGGTACAGGCAGGTGGTACAGCATTTACTTAGCATGTCTGGGTTTGACCCCAGCACTACAAAGCAACAACAAACAAAACAAAACAAAAACCAAAAATGATCTCCAGGGCATGATTTGGGGGGATGGATCTGGCACCTGCGTGAAAGCAATAGGGACCTCACGGCTGGTGGTAAGTTCAGGGACAATAACCCTGGCCCTTTGAGGGTGTCACAGTGATTAAATCTTGTACTTGTAAGCGGAAGAGGTGTTTGAAATCAAATCCAGGGTCAGTGTATAAAGAGCAGAGTGACAGAGCGTTCTAAATAAACAGCTTCTATAGGTGCTAGGTCCAAGTCACCACTACCTGGTAGGACCCTGAGGCCTGGGATGGTGACATGAAGGTGAACAAACCTGATAATCTTCATCTCATAAAAATCTTTATTCTCCTGGATGGCAGAAGCAGCTCCTCCCCTCTCACCAGGAGAAGAACAGTTTCTGCTTTCCTTGAGATTGTGCAAGGATCATGAGATCCTTGCAGGAGATGCAAGCAGGTACCTCCTAAAATGGTATTTGTTCCCCTTCAGACCTGTTTCCACCACACCGCAAACAACTGGGGTCAGTTCCTGGCAAATGCTGAGAGGGGTGATAGAAATCCCGACCTGGGAAAATGAGCTGCATATCAGAGCGCTACAAAGACCCGGCCGGTATGTGTGGGGATGATCTTGAGGGTATTAGCTGAAGGGCAGGGTGGGGGAGCAGTTAGGACAGAACATAAGGCTGGCTAGCTGGGTGTGATGGCACGCCCCTGTAGCCCCAACTCCTCGGAAGGCTGAGGCAGGGGACTGCTTGATCCCACGAGTGCAGAGCCCACCCGGGCAACACCCTGTTTCAAGAAAACCAACTAGCCAGGCCTGGTGGTACATACTGTAATCCCAGCATGTGGGAGGGCTCAATCGTCATGAATTTTAGGACACCCTGGGCTACATAGTGCATTCAAGGCCAGTCTGAACTACATAGCAAGATCCTGTCTCAGAAAAAAAAGAAAACTAAACAAACAAGCAAAACCAAACAATAAAAAGTAGGCTTGGGATGTAGCTAAGTGGTACAAGTGGTATAGTACTTGCTTATTACAGTATGCACAAGGCCCTGGGTTCAATTTCCAGCATCACAAATGAAAAAGAGAGAGAACTATTTCCCCCTGACCTTTTTGTTATTGTTTTGTCATTTGAGACAGGTCTTGCTATGTAGCTCATGCTGGCCTTGAAGTCACTATGTAACCCATGTTGGTCTGGAACTCGTGGTGATCCTCCTGCCTCAGCCTCCCGAAGCTGGGATTATAGGCACGTGCCACTGCCCAGCTCCCCGTTCCTTGAGTCTAGACAGGCTTTGTAACTTGTCCTAACAGACAGAATGTGGTAGAAGTGACAGTGGCCCGGGAGAAGACTGGAAGCTTCTATTTCCTCCTGCTTGGATGGTAGCCACCATGAAAGAAACCCAGCCACATGGAGATATCATGTTGGGAAAGACAGATGTACATGTGGTCCCCAGGGATGACGTCCATCAAGCCAAGTTGTCACTGATGGAACAAAGTCATCTTGGACATTGCCATTCCCTCAAACACCAACTGAGCCTTTCTCAGATTTCAGAATTGCGAGAAATGATAAATGGATGTGGTCCTAAATCTTTAACCTTAGGCAGTTTGTTATTCAGCAACAGATAACTGAAATGTGAACTAACTAGTTTACAAGGATGGTTTCTTAAACTCTGTGTTAGAAATTAAAACCCAGAGTGGGGTGAGGAGGCACACACCTATAGCGCCAGCACACTTGGAGGCTGAGGCAAGAGGATGCCAAATTTGAGTCCATCATGGGCAATTTAGCAAGACCCAGTCTCAAAATGAAAACTGAAAAAAAAAAGAGCTCAGTGCAAAGGCTCTGGGTTAAATCCCTGGTACACACACACACACACACACACACACACACACACACACAAAATCCTGAGCAAGATGAGGTCGAGATAATAGAAATACCCTAATAAGGTAAGAAGAAATAAGAATGTTCAGGGAGGTAGAAATGTGAGACCCAAGAACTTGGCCCTTGACTATGTTTTCTAGGAGAGCAGTGAAGATTCTCTTCATCAAAGCAATAAGGAGTTCACAAAAAGAAAAGAATCTTTGAGTAGTCAGTGATTTCTGACTAGGATAATCCCAGCACTCTCGGAGGCTGAGGCAGGAGAGTCACAAGTTTGAACCCTGTCTGGGCAATTTAGTGACTTGGTGATACCTTGTCTCAAAATTTAAAAAAAAAATTTGTTGCTGTTGTTTTGTTTTTTGAGACAGGGTCTTGCTGTGTATTCCAGGCTGGCTTTGAACTCCCTATGTAGTCCAGGCTGATATCAAACTCATGGTGATCCTCCTGACTCAACCTTCCAAGTGCTAGGACTATAGGCATGTGCCACCATGCCCAGTTACAAAATAAAAAAAATGTTTAAAAATCAAGAGCTGACAAGCAAAAGACAGTGGAAAATCAAGATCCCTCATCCAGGTTTTTGGTCTAAATTCCTAGACCCAGGCCCAGAATCCTGTAACAACAGAGGAGACCATGCCCCCTACAGGAATAACTGTGCAAAGACACCACAACTGAAATTGTAAATATTCCTCTGCTTTTTCCTCAAGGCTGATCTACTGCCTTGTGTTGGGGTAACTGTATTGGAAGAGGACCACACCCAGACTTTCCAAAGGCTAAGACATGGGGTCCACACTGGTGAAGAAACTAGGAGAGGAAGCATCATCATAGTTCCCTGGTGAGAGCAGGAGATAAAAGAGGCCAGATGATAGAATTTAGTCTAAGTCCAATGGGTCTCACAGAAGCTAAAAGAACTTCTAATTCTTTCCACAACCTTCTAAGTAAAGGCTATTATAACAGGAAGAACTGAGCAAAATCTCCTGAAACTGCTTGTATTAGTCAATGTTCTCCAAAGAAACAGAATCAGTAGGATGTGTGTGTGGGAACACACATGCCCATGGAGAGAAAGGGAGATTGACTGATGGATTGGATGGATGGTTGGTTGGTTTTAAGGAACTGGCTCACGCCATTGTGGGGGCTGGAAAGTCCAAAACTTGCGGCATAGGTTGGCAGGCTGGAGACACAGGGGAAAGTTGATGTTGCAATCTGACTTCAAAGGCTGTTTGCTGGCACAGTTCTCTCTTTCACGGAGGTGTTGGTCTTTTTCTCTAAGGCCTTCAACTGACGGCATGAGGCCCACCCACATGGAGAATAATCTGATTTTCTCAAGCTTACTGATTTAAATGTAAATCTTATCTAAAAATTACATTGGGGCCAGGGATATATCATGGTGGTAGAGCACTTGCCTAGTGCCCATATGCCCTAGGTTCCATCCCAGCCCCACAAATAAATGCTAAGTAAAAACTACCTTCCCGTGCTGGGCATGGTGGCACACACCTGTAATGCCAGCACTTGGGAGGCTGAGGCAGGAGGATCGCTGTAAGTTTGAGACCAGCCTGGGCTACATAGCGAGTTCCAGGTCACTCTCAACTACATAGTGAGACCCTGTCTCAAAAAAAACAAAACAAAACAACAACAACAAAAAACAAAAAACTACCTTCCCAGAGCTGGGTGTGGTGAAGGCAAGAGGATTATTTTGAGTTCAAGGCCAGCCTGGGCTACACAGTGAGACTCTGTCTTTAAAAAAAAAAAAAATCCCAGCACCATCTAGACTAACAAGGGTTTATATGTTTGTTTGTTTGTTTGCTTTTTTGCTTTGTGGCACTAGAGACAGAACCGTTGAGGTATATGACCAGGTCTTTTGATTTTATTTATTTTTTTGAGACAGGGTCTTGCTGTGTAATTCATGCTGGTCTTGAGCTCACTATGTAGCCCAGGCTGGCCTTGAACTTGTGCTATTATTTTTCATTTTGAGACAGAGTTTCATAAATTTCCCAGGTGGAACTCAAACTTGCAGTCCTCCCGCTTCAGCCTCCCAAGACACCGGAGTTACAGGTGTGTGTCACGACATCATGCTTAGACCAGTGTTTGACTGAATATTTGGGCACCATGGCCTGGCCAAGTTCACATGTGAAACTTACCATCACACCACCCTGCCCTGCTTACTCCTGCAGTACTGTCACTGTCTCCGTCAGTGCCCACTCCGCTCACCTGCCGGGCCTCTGGGAAAGTAGATGGGTCGCCATGGCTGGTAGGTGGGCAACAGTAAACATAACCAGGTGAGAGCCGGTCACCAGAGCTGCTCTGGGATACGGGTTCTGTCCCACAGAAGTTAGCGCACCTTCGAGTGCTGTGTGCTATGTACGGCGATTGGGTTGTTGAATGCCTTGTTCTCAGTACCCAGAAGAGATGACCAGAGGCAACTTCCTTTTACACCACACTGTTGCAAGGACAGCACCTCTACTCTCTCCCACAGGACTTTCCAGGCCTCTGTGAAAATACAGAAAAACAGGCGAGTCCACCTCACGGACACCCTCATGCCGCTGGGACAGGGCCGGGAGATGGGAAGCACTGTGTTTGGCAGCGGATGGAAGAGAAATGTCACGAAGATTCATGGTTCTGACTCCTTGGTAACAGTCTTAGGAATTCGCTGGTTTGGGGCAGACTGAGGACGAGCTGTCTTATCCCATGTCCTGTTCTTAGAAAGAGCGACGGTGTTTGGTGGTCTTCTTAGATATGGGAGGAATAAGGTATACATGTAGAAATATTTCTCCAGCCCTTTATTAGGCGGCCTGGAAGGCTGCCAAAGAGAGGCTTGGGCCCCAAAACAAGTCACTTGGGATTAGAGGATCCTGCAGATACAATATTGCCGCAGGTGCCTGAGGATAAAGATTCATGGGAAGTCTCTGACAGCCAAATAGAGTTCAGTGAGGGCTCCCAGGGATCTGGAGTTAGGCCATGCTGGTCATGGTCCATCTGGACAAAAAGGTCCAGATGTGTCTGTCACCAGTAGGAACGAAGCATCTGACCATTGGCTACCAGGTGGCTGTGTGCTTTAAGCTGGATATTATCAAGACAGGCAGAGCAGCAATCCAACAGATATTCATGGCTGGCCCAGAGGGGCCCAAAAAGCATGAGTAAATCAAATGAACAGGGACTCAGATTCCTACGGTACCTGCTTCTGTTTGTTTTGCTGTTTGTTTATTTTTGTTTTCTGACACAGAGTCTTACTCTGTAGTCCAGCCTGGCCTCAAACTCTTCATCTCCTGCCTCAGCTTCCCAAGTGCTGGGATTATAGACATGTGCCACCATGCCTGGACTGACACCTCTCTCTCTGTTTTTTTGTTTTTGTTTTTGTTTTTGTTTTTTGAGACAGGGTCTCACTATGTAGTTGAGACTGACCTGGAACTCACTATGTAGCCCAGGCTGGTCTCGAACTCACAGCGATCCTCCTGCCTCAGCCTCCCAAGTGCTGGCATTATGGGCATGCGCTACCCCGCCCGGCTCTGACACCTCTCTTTTTATACAAGGCTGATTCATGGCTGAACCCAATTCACAGATAAATCAGTATGGTGTTTTGGCACCAGCTGGAAGTCCCAGTTGGGGAATTGTGCGGCAGAAACGTGAAACGTGAGCAGTATCTCTGTCATCCTCTTTGGAGAAGCGGGGGAGGGGGGCACTGACATACACCAATTCCTAACGGGTGGCGATGCTTTGCTGGTTGGTCAAGGGCACGGAAATAACAGGACTGGAAGGGGAAGAGGCATATGGATGGGCCTACAGGAGTGGGCACAAGATGTGGATCTCTGTGTCTCACACTAATCTGACCCGAGATCATCATAAAGGAGGCTCTAGAGCCAGATGGTCGGGCTGACCCAGCCTGTGCACGTCAGTCAGCCTCTAAACTTTGCCTCCTACTGCTTTGTAATAAACCTATCAAAGGGCATCCATGGCGGTGACAATGGAGGCAACATACGGACCCAACAACCTAGACTCTCTCTCATTGAGGCTGATGCAGCAACTGCCAACAAATAGCCAGCCTGCCAGCAGCAGGCAGCAGCGTGGCTACAGTGCTCAGAGAGAACAGCCAGGCACCCGGGGGGAAGGTCAGTTATACCGATCAGACCCTTCCACTTCGGAAGAGCCAATGATTCACCCTCACTAGAAAAACAATTCTCCGATATAGGCTGTACTGCTTACCCACAGTGCCTCTGCAAGCACCGCCGCTGGAAGCTTTCAAGAATGTTCCATACACTCTACCTATCACTTAAGACCAGGGAACCCATTTTAATGTTTAAAAAAAAAAGTATTAGGATGGCCACACAAACATGGGCTTCCCTGTTCTTACGCCTGTCACCCAGAAGCGAAGCTGCCGGCCTGAGAGAACAATGGAAGGGAATGAATCATTTCCAAAGCTTTCTGGGGATTATGAGCACATGGTACATCACAGACCACTGTGGCAGCGGAAGGAGCTCCCCATGCACCCAGGCCCTGGCATGCAGCAAGTGCTCAATAAATGGGAAGTATTAGCATTGATCGGGTTGGATTGCGCCCCAAGGGAAGCTGGGGGTCGGCTTCACTCAGCCCAGTCTGGCCATGGCTCCCCCTGTGGCCCGACATGCTTGAATACTCTTTGCTGTTCCAAAAGTCCCCAGCTTGAATTTGAGCCGTCTGCCAGCAGGCAGTGCGCAGATGCTGCCGGGGAGCAGAGCTGGAAGACAGGAGAGCAGAAAACTCTGCAGAGTGCAGGAAATGGAAACTCTGACAAGGATTGGCTGCCTGGGGCCGGGTGGAGGGGATCCAAATGTGATTATAAAAAGCCAGCCTGAAGCCAAAGAGCCGCTTCCTCACTGCTGCGCATCTATCAGCAGGCTCCGGGGGGCGGGGGGCGGGGAGAGACCCCACGGCTTCTCTTCTCTCCTCCAAGGTAGCCCGGGAGCTGTGAGTGTGGGTGTCAAGCTGCCACCCTCTGCCAGACTGCCTGCCCGAGCCTTGCGCCTGACAGCTGGGCTGCCTTGGTCCCCGGAGTGCTCTGAGGGGACAGGCGGGTGGGGGCTTTTCGGAAGGTAGGACGCAAACCCTGAGACCTAGCTCACTGGGAGCCGCGCCTGCTCTCTCTGGCCTTAACGCTGTCACTTCCCCTTGGTTACCTCGACTGTGAAACGGTGATGAATCCACCTCACCTCCCCAAAGGTCTGGATGATTTCTGATTGTGGGATCTAATGTGACTGCGAGTTTCTCTTTAAGGGTAGGGGAAGCCATCTGGAGTGGTTGTTCAAAGTGTGAGCCTGGGCATCAGTCAACTGTGGGTTTAAATCCTAACTGCCACTTCCTGGCTATGCAGCCCTGGGAATATTACTTAGCCTTTCTGAATCTCAGTCTTCTTATTTATAACATATAGTTGATAACAATGGTGCCTGTTTCATGGAGTTGTTATGGACATAAGTGACCTTTTGCCATAAAATGCTGAGTAAATAATACACGGAAGGTTTTTTGGTTTTGGATACCAAGAAATAGCAGAGTCAGGTGCAGTGGCACATGATATAATCTCAGCTACTCAGGAAACTGAGGCAGGAGGACCACAAGTTCAAGGCCAGCCTGGGCAACTTACCAACACTTTGTTGCAAAATGTAAAAGTAAAGGGCTGGGGATTTAGACCAGTGGATTTGCCACCTGCCTCAAAAACGCAAGGTCCCGAGTTCAATCCCTGGTACCCATAAAAATTTAAAATTGAAAAAGAAATAGCACGGAGCTGACAAAGATCACATTAGAGATGAGCTAGGAGCATATGCACTTTCCTTTTTGTAGCATCATGCAAAGAGCACAGGCTTTGAACTCTGACTGTCTTGAATATGTATCTGAGCTACACAATTTGCCATGTGACCTTGGGCAAGCTCCTTTATCTCTCTCTCGCTCTCTCTCTCTGTGTCCTTTCTGAAAAATGGAGCTGTACAGCCAGTGTTTGGTGCCTGCCAACATTCACTGCATTGTAATAATACGTTTATCTGGATTGGGTGTGGAGTGCCCTGGTAGAATGTGTACCTTGCGTGCCCCAGGTGCCGGGTTCAATCCCCAGCACCAAAAAAAAAAAAAAAAAAAGAGTTTATTTGAAAAAAAAATTTTTTTTTTCTGAGACAGGTCTCATTATGTAGCCCAGGCTGGCCTTGAACTCAAATTCTGAGTGCTGGGATGACAGGCGTGATACTTCTTAAAGCAAATTCAATGTACAAGGCATTGTTCTAACTACTAAGCATACAGTGCCGAACAGTTCCTAAACTCACAGTCACCCTCTGAAATAGGCTCTATTAATATCCCATTTGTACAGTGAAGTAAACTGAGATCCAGAGAAATGAAGTACCCCTCCCCAAGGTCAGTTAGCCAGTGCTAAGGCTAAGGATAAGGACAACCATGGCAGTGATTAACACATGTCTAAGCACTCAGGTACCTGTGTCACTGAATTTTTGTTTGTTTTTTTGTTTTGTTTTGTTTTTTGACATAGGGTTTCACTATGTTGCCCTGAACTTGGCAATTCTCCTGCCTCAGCCTCCAGAGTGCTGGGATCACAGGCATGTACCTCCATGCCTGGCTGCACTGCTGAATACTTTCGAAAACCCAGTGGGACAGGACATCACGGCTGTAAATATCAAGAGCACAGAGAATTCCCCTCTTCCTTTCTGAACTCTCAATTCTGGATGGCAAAAACTCAAAGAGACAGCCCCAAAAAAGCCTTTCTCAGAGGCACCAAAGGGGAAGACACAGAAGCACCATGGGGACACCCCTGTGCTGTCACTCATGTCCTTATGTGCCACGGGACTGTGACAGGGTGACTTGATGCCCTGCTTGTAAACCCCCAGCACCTCAGAGGAAGGTCTCCACAGAAATGGCTGTTGTTTGCATTATTGCTTTTTTTTTTTTTTTTTTTGGTACTGGGGATTGAATTCAGGACTTTGCGCTAGCAAGACAGACAGCAGAACCACTGAGCCGAATCCCTGGCTCTATTAGCATTATTAATAACATGGCATTTGTATTGCACACACAAAGAAAAGGAATTATTATTCTTATTATTACTATTATTACTACTACTACTATTATTATTATTATTTTTACTTCTGACAGTCATCTCTGACCTGGGATGCCATCACAGGGGAAATTGGATTCCCCTCTCAGGGCTTCTGCTTCTCCATGTGGAAGTCACGGGACTGGATTGGACCAACGGTTTCCAGGCCCAGGGCTTGGGCCTCAGTGACCTGTCTGAACTCACTTTGGGTGGCAGCTGCATCCTGTCTGTGCGCACCTTGCAAAGCAGGGAGGAGGAGCAGCCTGTGGTTCTCAGAACCTTTTCATTCTTCCTGCCCTCCCTCTTCCAGCTGGAGTCCAGAACCTTCTCTGTCAGTCTTCCCAATGACCTAGAAGAGAAAACAGAAGGCACTTTGTCCTGTGAGTCACCCTTGCAACGAGAATCCCAACAAGGCCTGGCTCTGGCCTGCCTCATCCTCGGGCCCCCACCCTCATTTTCCTGTCAGGTCAACCACAGCGCCAGGGACAGAACCAGCTGATTTTGTTTCTGGGCCACAGCAGGGCGGCTCCCTAGCCGGAATGTCCTTCTGAAGCTTACCTTCCTGAAAAACTCCCTATTGTCCTTCGGAGCACAGCTCAGACATCCCCTCCCTTAAGACTTCTCTGTGCCAAGTCCTGCTGTCACTGGTCAGGGCTGGAATGCCCAGGCTTCATTTCCCAGGGTGCTTGGTGTGGGGAAAGCAGAATGTGGGGTGTTCTCACTGAGAAAAGTGCCCAGCTACTGTCCGGTTAGGTGGGTTGGAAAAGCCAGAAGACCATCCTCTGATGAAGCACAGACTCCCCCAGACAGAGGATATAAGCAGGTTTGGAGGGCTTGGCAAGGTCTTCCTTTCCCCTACAACTCAGAGGCCTTCTGAATGGAAAAGAGAGCAACACAAGTTCTGTTGGAGAGATTTAAAGTTTGGGAGGCCTGACTAGGGGAATCCTGGCTCCCTGACCAAGACAGGGAGACAGAGAGGCCAAGGAAGTCAAACCCAATAAAGGAGCTGGGCATGGTGGTGCACACCTGTAATCCCAGCACTACTGGAGGCTGAGGCAGGAGGATCACTGTGAGTTTGAGGCCAGTCTGGGCTACATAGCAAGACCCTGTCTCAAGCAAACAAAAACCAACCCAAAACAAAAAAAAGATAATTGTGCCATGGTTCTAGTCCGAGTGGGCACATCAGGCCTGCCAGGGAGACTTGTGTCTCTGGGAGGTGGCTGTCTGGGAACCTCAGAAGCTGCTCTCCAAAGAGCTGTAACTTCAAGAGGCCTGGAGCCCTTCAGTGGAGAGAAACCAGGGAGGAGGAGCTCTAAATCAGGAGCCCTCAAGCCTCCCCTACCCAGTACCTCTTATGATCCAGAAATGCTTCTTCATCCCATTTCTCCTGCCTCCATTTCTTTTTTTGGTTCCGGGGATTGAACTCAGGACCTTGCACTTGCAAGGCAGGCGGTGGCACCACTAAGCTACAACCCTGGCCTTCCTGCCCCCATTTCTAATGCCACCTCTGCAGATGTCAATGGATTCCCTCAGCTGGCATCCCCAGGCCCCAGAGCAGCACAGTCTACGGCAGAGGTGCACAGGTGGTGGGGGTGTTATATGGAAAGGGTTTAACGTGGTCCCTGGCACACAGGAAGTGCTCGGTAAATGTCAGCTCCTGTCATGATTAGGGACTTGCATAAAACAAAGATGAGGTGCACCTCTGAAATCCTAGCACTCGGGAGGCTGAAGCAGGAGGATTATGTGTTCCAGGCCAGCTTGAGCGACACAGCAAATTTGAGACCAACTTAGAATGTATCTTGTCTCAAAAAAATTACACACACACAACACACACACACGCGTGGGCTCACACACACACAACCTTCCTCAGGCAGCATCAAGGCTGGAGAAAGATGGACAGATCTGCCCCTGGGACTCTAGACCTCAGGCCTTAGTAGTCCTTGAGCTGAAGGACACCAAAAATGACCTGTCCTTTCAGGGGAGTCTCCACCCCGTCCTAGATCCCTCCCCCTAGGCCTGTGCAGTGTAACCCTTTTGCCTTCATTCCACAGGCATTTACTGGGCACTGAGTCCCATACCAGGCCGCGTGCCAGGTGCTGAGGACACCACAGTGGAAGAGACTGGTTCCTACCTACTTGGAGCTCACAGTGCATCCAAGACCCCTCCTCCTGGTCACCGCCTCTCAGCCCATCTCCTTTTCCTCCCCCCACCTTCATCAGCTT